GTGTGTGTGTGTGTGTGTGTGTGTGTGTGTGTGTGTGTGTGTGTGTGTTTAATGAATACAATCAAAAGAAAAAGAGGCTACCACCTGCTGAGATTTAAGGGAGGTGGTTAGGAAGGGCTGGAGTAAAGGGAGGAGAGAAAGTGATACCAAGCTTTAATAGAAATGAGGTGGAGAGGAAGGCATAGAACATCAGCCTCTGGCCTCCATCTGTACATGTACACACCCACAGCACAGACCTATGTCTCCTCATAAAAAAAACAAACCTTTAAACATGGCGTAGGTTGTAGGAGGTTTTTGCTGTACTTTTTAAATAGGATATACTCCCTTTTAATAGTGAATTTTTTTCCTGAGCCTGTTAATCACTACATTACTCCATGGTAAATTACATTAACACATTTATAAGGGTCAAGTCAACTTTAGATTGTTTTAGAGTCTTAATAGGGGTTTGTCAGGTTTACTTTTTCAGAGACTAAGCAATTGGTTTTATTGATTTCCTATATGATTTATATTTCACTGATTGCTGCCTTTAGGAGTAATCAAGTACCTCTGTTAACTTGTTCTTTTACTTTTTTATTCCTATTGTTTATCTGTGTGGTATACAAGGATACACGTTTCATGTTTATGTCTGTGCATTTGTGTGTACAGGTGCACTCACCACATGCATTTGTGTGAAGAGGCCAGAGGTTGACATCAAGGTGTCTTTCCCGATTGCCCTCCACTTTACTTGTTTATTTTTAAGGCAGTGTTGTTTAACCTGATGCTGACCAGCAAGACCCAGGTTCCTCTTGTCTCTTCTTCTAGCGTGTACCACCATGCTTGGCTTTTTATGTGGGTGCTGGAGATCTGAACTTGGGTCTTCAAGCTTGTAGAGCAAGTACCTTACTGACTGAAGCCCTCATTTACTTTTTTGTGTTTTTCTCATAGAGTCCTAGATTCCAGTTGTCTTTTTCAATGTAATATAAATTACTTTCAGTTTTGTCACAAAACTCTAGGGTATCAAAATACTTCAATCCCATTTACTCTTTTTTGCTGTGTAACATTGTTCGACAAATTTTTGCCTAACAAATTATTTTTACATGAAACACTCATGTTATAATCCCAATGGTATTTTTTATAGACATAAAATTCTATATTGACTTTCTCCGTACTTATGCTTTCTTTTTTTATATTTTTATTTTTATTAATTACAATTTATTCCCTTTGCATCCCCCCTGTAGCTCCCTCCCTCCTCCCCCTCTCTCTCAGTGTCTTAAGTAAACTTTCTTCTGGCTTCCGTTGTTTCTGCTGAGTGGTTAGCTCTAGAGTCTAGGCTACCAGTGCTCTCATTTCAAGGTAATATATCAGACTACTGCTAATAAATTTTCTGTCTTCATTCCTTTTGTTTTTAAAGCATGTTATTCATAATGTGTGACCTTGGTCTCCTTGAGCTGCTATAACTAACTAGTTATACAAGATAGCTTGTAAACCATAGAACGTTCCAGAGGCAGAAAAGTCTTAAATGACAGTGCTGACAGATTCTATGTCTATTGATGGCCTACTTTCTTCTATAATAGATGTATTTTATCTGGAACATCACGTAGCATACGTGGGGTGTAGCCGTCTGGAATTAACCTGCCAGGTCACTATTTTCATTCTTCAGTGCTCTACTTGTTATCACTTACCAGAGGCCAGAGCACTAAATATCACATGGAGGGTCATATATATATATATGAGGGTCATATATATATATGAGTTTGGGGAACCACATTCTTTGAAATTCCACAATGGCTATTCCAGAAAAGTTATGTCTTGAGCGCTTACAAAACATTCATTCTCTCCTCCAAAATTTTACCTCACTCCAAGCATCAACTCAAAAGTCCAGCATCTCATCTAAATATATATATCAAGTACAACTAAGACTCAAGATTCAATTCACCCTTTGGTAAATTATTCGTCAGCTGTGAACCCAACACATATACTTCAAAAATAAACAGAGGAACAGGATATACTTTCTCATCTGTCCACCCAGAAGAAAATACTTGTGCAGAAACAGCTTCAAAATATAACAACAACATAACACCCTGAAAGAATTAAAAAATACAACAGAGAGTTTTGTACTTATTGCTGAGAGATGTGAAAAGTAAAATATCTGCAAGGATATAAATGTGTCCGTCAGTACTATTAACTAAGTGAAGCTAGTTAGCATTTATTTAAAAATCCATCCACATCAACAAATTATACTCTTTGAAGTGTACACTGAACATTCATATCAAATCTCAAATTTAAAAGGCCTAACAGGAGGGCTGAGGTTGAGAGCATTGGTTGCTCTTGCAAAGGACTTGGCTTTGGTTTGCTTTCCAGCACTGACTTGGTGGCACACAGTCATCTATACTTCAGTTTCAGGGATCACATACTGGCATCTGACCACTGTAAGCACTGAAGGCACATGGTACACACACACATGAGGCAAAGCACTCATGCATTTAAAAAAATCTAAAAGGCCTGACTGAAATAATACAGAATTGTTTTTTAATCACAAGAAAAATTTGAGCTAATAATACTGTGATATTGGAAATTCTAAATCTAGGATCAATGAAAAAAAAATCACAAAAAGAATACAAAGAACCTAGAAAAAGAAAAGAACTTAAGCCTCAAGTAGGCAATATGAGCCATGCTAATCTGACATTCCCATTAGATTGGTTAAAATTAAAAGCACTGATTATCTTGTGTGTTGGCATATGAACACTCAGGTGGTTAGAGTATTTCTGATGGCAATGTAAAATACTATCCAAAAATGATGACACAAACAGATGTACAATACTACATTTGCAGCTTTTATTAATATAGTACTAAGTCAGCAGCAACCCAAATGGCCAATAGCAAATAAATTATGATAGTCACACAGTGTAAAGTTTATATTTTATGACTTTTTTCCTCTTTAGTCCCTCTTTCCTTTCATGCCCCTTAGAATCATTTTACTATATTTTACCTCAATCGCTTTATTTTTTTCTTTATTACAGAACACACTGTAAAACAAATATTTGAATCTCTTTTTATGGAATTGTCCTATACTCATCCTAGTTCTATTTGTCTATACTGGAGCCATTACCAAGTATATATTACTGTAAATCACAGCACTCATTCACCCTCTTCCCTTTTTAAATGTACACTAGCAATTCATAAGTTTTTGTCATCATGCATATCAATAAGTTACTGAATTTCAAAAATATCTTGCTAAGTTTTATTGAGATCACCTTCAATTTAGATGATAAAATGTCTGCGTTTTAGGAAGATATTTTACAAACTAAAACTTTTCATGTTTCTATGAAAGAGAAAACTTACAGTCTCCGTTTGAGACATACTTTGCTTTTTAAAAATATATATTTAAATGGTTCTTACATGGTAATTGTTTTAGTTTTAATAATTTGTTGATG